TGTACACCTACAGAGGTCACAAGAAAGAAGTTACCGGTTAAGTTTTGATTTTATTTTTCAAAAACCTTAATGGCCAGGCGATATATTGACAATATGCTCACTACAAAAACGCATATTATCAAAATGTCGACTGTGTATGTGTGTGTTCGGAAGCGGCTGAACTTTTTCGCCTGCTTCCTATTGAACAACCAAAAAAACTAGGAAGACTGAAATTTTAAGGGTATATTCCCACCCCATATGCCACCATCCCGTTTTAAAATCATAACTTATACGTGTCTAGATCTCTCGTACGGGTTCCTGAAGAATTGTGCAAACTCCTTTGGTGCGAAGCTTTTTTGGGAATCAAACAGGACAGAAAGCCGAAACATTACAAGGATATTCTCTGTGCATGTATGAGCTAAAGATTTCAAATTCAGCTGTAGCGCACGTTTGCACCACAAGTAGGTCACGTCGAAGCCCACACTTGGCAGTGTGTCAACTCGGAAACTAGCAGATTCGAACAGTAGCTAAAATTTTGTCAGCGTATTTATCGTTCATATGGAAAATAATGTACCTAAGTTGATTTGCACTAACGCGACAACTTAGGGCGCTTCAAAGACATTTGTAACGAAGTGGCTATTTCGCTTACCGTACAACTTGCGAGACCGTAATTTTGCTAGGGTATTGTGTTTCAGTGTTACCAAAACTCTCTGCCTCCCTGCACGAGTACGAGAGAAATACTCAGCTTTATCGCAAATTCAAAAACCAGTGTGTTTGCGAATTTTGTTATCCTCCTTTGACAACCTGTGCTTTTTCAAATATGCATTTTTCGATGAACGACCACCCACTGAAAAACCGACCGGGCTTCATGCAAAAAATGACAGTCGTGTACGCTAGAAATTCACGCAGCTTCGTGATGCAACAGTACTATCCTAGCTAGCGTCCTTTCCCTCTGTATGCGGGAAAAGGCCAAACAATATCAGCATGAATCCAAATATTAAACCGCAACGCAGGAACCATTCCTGCCCTTAACGATAATGACTGCAGCAAGTTTAGCGTAAGAACTCACAATTACACCCGTAAACCTGGTACGTTCTGGTCTGGGGTTTATTTAACATATTACGGTATGTCCGCCTCTTCAATACTGCTCTACTGAGCAGTTAGTGGTGTATGGATATGAAGGGTGACGAAGGTGAATAAGCCAGCGCTGCCAGTGACGGAGAGAGCGATGGAGTGAAGGATTCTTGACGTGTTGCTTCTGACCTATAAGCAGTCAGATCCTCCGCCAAATGAGCGGTATGCAGAATATCATTGCTGCCACAGAAAACAAGTTCCGATGGGTAGAGCATGTTGCTGACCTTGTCAAAAACCAATGAACAGCATACATCAATGAATGGTACTCGCGAGAAGAAAAAAACAACAGTTCGGATGGTCCCAAAGAGATGCATGTAGACTGGAAATATGCAGTCCCGCATCGAAGAGTATGGCATAGTTGGGCCAGGCATACGAAAGCATCCCAGTAATTTCACTCGCATCGGATACCAACAGCTGTTTTCCCCACGATTTTGATTTTCTAGAATTCAGTGATTTTAGTTTTCTTAATTCAAATATTGTCATATCATTTGTTCATAAATTTTGCACTCGCAGTGTCGGTTTTTTTTTTTTTATACGGAATCTACATTTACGTATTTTACTGAGTGTAAATTTTGTAGCTCTTGCTTGGCATCCGGTTCATGAAAGCTTATTTGTGAGTGGTGGTGGTGACGGTTCACTGGCATATTGGCTTGTCAACAGTGTAAAGGAACTTGCTTTCCTGGAACACGCACATGATCAAGCAATATGGTCTCTGGAATGGCATCCATTAGGCCATATTCTTGCATCTGGTACGTTTTTAATTTGAGAAAACAAGATTTGGCCTGCGAAATATTAGATAGAAGCAAAAAAAGATTGAAAATAGAATTAAAATCAAAAAAACCTGGGAACTAAAATAGAATAAAAATCAGAAAAAGCTAAGAACAGGGTAATTCTGCAGCGATAATGAAATGTGAGACTAGTTCCCACAACGGCTCATTCATCTGCTTACTTTTCGATTTGCACTTTGTGGATGTGGGAAGGTATTGACGAGGAGAAGGATCGAGAGCCGGAGGGAATGACTGGATAAATTTGGTGCTTTCTCTGAATGTAGGTCTGAGAAGCATCCCTTCTGAAATGTCTTACATTTGTTTTTTGTTTCAGGTTCAAATGACAATAATACGAAGTTTTGGGCTAGAAATCGACCAGGCGACACGCAGGATGACATTTTCGGACTAGCTTCACTTCCAGGTCCAGTAGCGGTGCCAGTAAAGGAAACTAAGACGGAAAAAACCGCAGATGAAACGACATTTGTGCCAGTAATTCCAGGTATGGCTCATTTATTGTTGGCTTAATTCAATTGGGCTGAATGAAAGATAAGAACGCGAAATGATGTTAAAAAAGTGTAGAAAAATGGTACCTAGGATCTGGATCATTATTGCATTTTCTTGCCCACTCATATCACTTAAATTTTTCGATAATTCTCGACAAATTTTCTCGATAATTCTCGATAAATTTTTCGATGTTTTTCGATAAGTTTTTAGAAAAATAAGAAGGATAATAATAGTACAAGCGAAACGATTGATGAAGGACCCTCTTTTACTACCAGACATTTTCTAAAAATCTCCTCCCTGCGTTTTGTGTGTCTTAGGCGGACTGAGAAGGCACTGTTTTCAACATTGCTCCTGACGCCCAAGACATGTGAGGAGTTAACGAAGCAGCCAAACCAAAACATCAGGCCAAGCCGAAATAGTTATTCTTTGTTAATTGTCATGATACTTGAAAATCAGGTTGCCGGAAGGTAAAATTGCCTGAAATGATTGCACTCAAAAAGAGATTCTATCTTCTGAAAATCTAGAATCCGCACTTGAAAGGACTGCATTTCTAGACAAACAGGACTGCAACCACAAAGAGCCGCATATTTCTGATACCAAAAATCAGTAAGAAACTCTTTCTGATCATATCTTATTAACATTGAGGACTCACTCTCGAATAGAGATCACACCTTCTTAATATCCAGGATTCGCGAAGCGGTCACATCTTCAAGAAATCCAGATTCCCACCCGGAAAGGGTTCACATCTTAACATCTAGAACACTCACTCAGAAATGCGTTACTGTTAATACCCGAGATCTTAGTATTCATAGGCGGATCGAGGGCGATTTCCTGGGGGAGGTGCAATTTTTCCCCTTCCTCTCCCCTTCGCCGCTACACCCCTCTCGAGCACCTCGCTACCTACCCATCG